ATCATCATCATCATCATCATCATCATCATCATCATCATCATCATCATGGTCATCATCATCATCATCATCTTTCTTTCGAGACGCCCTCTGGTCATGGAGGTAGCGTTGACCCCTGCGGGAACTGGGTCAGGCACGCTCCGTGGAGCCTTCCACGGACCCTTAGCTGAAAGATTTGGCAAGCTGCAATGCCAACTGTTGGCTTTCTTCCGAAGCCTTGGCATACTGAGCTGCCCTCAAAAATCTATTCAACACTCCAAAATTCAGCAAGCACGGACAGGTATGTTCGTCCAAAGATCCTTTCGAGCATGATACGGATGGCAGGCACAGACCCGTCCAGGTTTGGCCTCCACCATGAAATCCTGCATTAGGCCCTCAGCCAGCTGCTCAGCGGCATGGAAGTGCTCTGCATGCTGCCGGCGCAAATGCTCCAGGAGGTTCATGGGCTGCATGCTGCACAGCACGCAGGTGAAGACCAGCTGCCGGCAGACATCCGGCCAGCGCAGCAGCAGTCCGATATCGAGATCGTCGATCGATTTCAGCCAAGTCGCATTCCAAGGACATCCAGGAGGCGCTGCCAGGGACAAATTCTCCAGCATTTTTTCACGGGTCAGCAGCGCCATGGTGTTCTCGACCGAGGGAGCAGGTTCGGGATCGACCAGCATTGCTCCTCCGTGTTGGCACGTCAACCATAGCAGGCAACAGTTCCTCAGTGCCGGTTCCGGAAGTGAGCATTCGATCGTTGGAGGGGCGGCGTCATCGAGCATGAACCACTTTGTTCCTGTCCAAACTGCCGTCCTATAGTGGCCAGAGTGAGGATCATCACCTAGGTGAAAGGACATAGCAACCACCTCATAGGGAACCCTGTCAATATCCATGGAGGAGTTCGTGAAGTAAGGAAGGAAGACAGGTGAGGTCCATTGTAGTTTCTGAAAACTTTTGTGCCCCTGTTGATCAAACCGATCGATTTGAATGCACAGCAGATCTGAAACCCCCGCAAGTGCTTGTAGACCATACGATTCCAGGCTCCAGGTGGTGAGCAAGTCTTGCAGCTCTGTGGTGTCACCATTTCTGCCATCACAGAGGTAGAGCCGCATTGGGCAGTAGTGAGATCCACTGTCTACCGTTTTGACTTGATCATCAGCATCCACCCTGGCTTCCCAGAGATTGCTGAGGAAATTCGGTGCTACCAATGAGAGCAGGTAGTGCGTGAAGTCAACAATGTCATGCTGTACGAAGGATCATCATCATCATCATCATCATCATTGATCGCTACTATCACAGCATCATCATCAACAGCATCATCATCATCATCATCGTCATCGTCATCATCATCATCATCATCATCAGCATCATCATCTACATCATACATCATGACATAACATGTGGGTTTTGCAGGTGTGGGTTTTGCAGGGGTAGGTTTTAAAGATGTGGGTTTTGCAGGTGTAGAGATACGGGTGTAGACATGTAGGTGTTGAACACCTACAAAACATTTAAAACACCCACTAAATCTCACCAACGAAAAAGCACTTCTTTACAAGTGTCTTTCTACTCTTGCTCACGATACGTGACCCTCTGCGAGGATCGTGCATGTCGAGCGCTCAAACGTGTGGTGAAACGTCGATCGCGTTTGACCCCGAGCGACCCTCTGCGGGATCGTGCGTGTCGAGCGCTCAAACGTGTGGTGAAACGTCGATCG